TTTTTTATATTATTATGATTAAGAGAACCATTTTCAAAATGTATTAATTTTTATTCCTCTTTGTGATGATTTATAAGTTCCATGATATTTATAGGTAGACCCGTTGTCCAATAGAATTACTACTTCCAAGTCAATCGTCTAGTTAGTTCGCCTAGCTTCACAATAGTGATTGATTTTTATCATATTATTGCTCATCATTTAGTTGTTGAATAAAAAAAGAAAAAAACAATGCAATCACCACTACGATTTCTTGCATTTGGAGATTCTTTAACAGCTGGATTTTATAATTATGGTTTATCTTATCATCCTTATGCAATTAAATTATTAAATTTATTTTCATCAGTAAATATTCCAATAATTATTGATCAAAAAGGAATACCTGGTGAATGTGTTGTTCCATCAATGAATAATAGAATTAAAAATCTTTTGAATGAAAATTCTTCTTATTATAATTGGATTATTGTTTTAGGTGGAACAAATGATTTAGCTTATAAACAATCAGCTGAAAAAATATTTAATCATGGTTTAAAACTAATTTATGATATGATTCTTGAAAGAACAAATTTAAATACAAAATTATCAGTTATGACTATTATTGAAAATGGTTTTTATACACCAGATAGTATTTATGATAAACAAAGACAAATTTTAAATGATATGATTAGAAATTATGTTAAAAATTATCATGATCAAAATCGAATATGTCTTATTGATATTGATAAAACTATTAATTATCATTCTATGAAAGATATTCAACAAAGAGATATTATTTGGGATGATTATGCTCATTTAACACCAGATGGATATGATCTTATGGCTAAAATTATTTTTCAAGAAATTTTTAATAAAATAAATCAACAATCATGAAAGTTTTATTGTGGTTTTTTTTTTATAAGAATATTTTATCAAAGAAATATTATAAGAAATGGATGATTCTTGTATTTTCTTTAAAAAATCTTACTAATAAATGATTCACAGTGATGTATATTACTTAAAAAATTTCTCACTTTGAAAAAAGAGGGTGTGGGTGAAGGAAAGATACACCAACACCTTTTTTTGTTGTTTCAATTTTCACTTCTCATTTTTTATGTACATTCTTTGCTTGAATGTAAATAAGGATCGATGATTGATATCGCAGTAATCTATCCATCTACGTAGCACATATTAATTATCACAAGTAAACTCATGTAAAAAGAAAAGTTCGATTAAAAGTAATGATATGTAAGAAAATCTATTAAAAGCATTTTTTTTTCATGATTAAAAATCGATTAAAATCAAATTTCTCTCGACTTTTATGTGAGTATCGTTGAATCAGCTTTAAACTATTATTAATTGCTAGTAAATTTTAATCTATTCTTATTTGCAATTCGTTTTAATCGATTATTTCTACTATCGATATAAAAAGACCATTCATTGAGAATAAACAGATAAGGAAAGCGTCCATCAAAGCTGGACAAATGTGAATAGGAGAGAGTAGATCGGAAAGTTTCGGACATCTCGATGCCTAGTATGAGTACTTTTTTCTCACACAACTTTTCGCGATATTCCCTGGGAGGAGTATGGAAGGGCGGATGATGACTTTTCTTTTCCCTCCTTCACTACAAGATCATCAATTTTCATGAAAAACAGAGATTTTAATGTAGCTTTTTTGAAGAAGTGTTTTTTTATATTGAACTTTCACGAGGGAAGGCTCAAAAATGGTCTCAGGTTGATTCAAATCGATTAAATTTTCAATGAATTTCTGCGGTTCCGCTAAAACACTCGATTTTTGCTGCGTAAAATCAATTATCATCAAATTTTACATGAATTTAATTGGAACGTGCTACTTTTAATCGATTTCAATCAGAGCTTTAGCCTTTTCTTTTTTTTTTTTTTTTACATAGGATACTGAAATACTATTGTGTTTTTCTCGTTAGTTTGTTTTTGTCGTCTCCATCCTCTTTTTTTTATGTATAGTATATAAATAAAAGAAGAAGAAGCTACATAGAGAAAGTGTGAACATTGACAATATATTTCTCGACGCATGTCAGTACGAAGGTAAAAAGTCTAGACTGATACAATTTTCTGTGCTTTTGTTACTAAGATTAATATGATACAGTCAGTTCTGTAGTCACTCTACCGTTCAAATAAAATACATGGGAAATCAAAGCTTTGTGATTTAGAATTGGATAATACTAGTAAAATGACCTTCCACGATTGCTTATAAATGCACATTTTTGCTGACATTTGACTTAATAGTGTCAGCCAAACCATGTTACGCGATGTTATAGCTAAGTTTTAACTCTAAATAAGAAACAAGTATCCTTGTACTATATGATCCTAGTTATATTCATCTGCCTCAATTAGTATGTATGTTTTGAATAAATTACAACAAGTATAATGCACAAAAACTTCAAGAAAGATACTCTTGTTTATTTATTATAAGTAATAATGGTCTTCTAGAAATTTTCAATACCCTTCGAAAATAATATAAAAATGCATTCATGCTATTCTATGTGCTCTTTCGATATGGATTCGAATGTGCAATGAAAAGTGTTGAAAAAAATCAAGGAACGAATGTCTTCGTCAAAACATGAAACGCAATCATGTTGATCTAGAGTGCATTTTCTATGGGTGGCACACATTCTTCCATCATATTAGAGAATGTTCTTTTCTCGATTCAAAAACTTACTTTACATATACACAATCCATGCCGTATTTGTTTCATCAGATATTCTAGAATGCTTTCTCTACTGTTCTTTTTAAAAAAATATTGCGTATGATAAAAAAAAGTCTTCCAGTTCATCTATCATTAGTTTATGCAACAAAAAATATTTAGTAAAAACAGAATTCATTCTAGTTAATTTTTTTAGCCCAATGAACGTGTTGGCTTTTGTTGAGAAAAAATCTTGAGAAGTTCAACTTTCATTGCTAAACAATTTTTATTTTGAAAAATACTTTTCCTCACTTATTTCTGACACTTTGAACTGTACGAATTGCTTTCATTATTCTGAACATTACATCATAGGAATTTTTTTCTGTTGCTTCATACACATTTCTTCAATGCGATGCGCTTTCAACATATCGAAGACTTGATTGATGATCAAATGAGAGAGAAAGTGAAACAATTTCTTAGTTCAAACGGCTGTTCTACTTGACATTCTATATCGTAGCTTTTAAACGAATAGTTGAAAAAGAAGTTTCTTCTATAGCAATAGTGATATATTTCAATCGTTTAATGTTTAGAGCAACGAAGGAAATTAAAGAAAATTTACAAAAAGAAAAACTTTGATAGCGAACAAAATCGACGTTCGTACAAAACACTAAATTAAAAAGTATTATTAAATATGTTTGCTCATTTTTCGAATATTTAGATGCCATTGAAGTATACCAAAATCGGTCACTTTGAATCCGATTGTAATGCTAGTCTGAAATGTATGTTTAGAATCTTTTTACTGACTTATGGTTGCTTAACTTTGAGAAAATAATTAAACAAAATCAAACAGTTTACTTCCATTAAGCGTGGAGGTGGTTGTGAATCAAGAAGGGACACCAACACCCACACCCTTTGCAATAGGTTAGATATTTGTTGGTTGTGTATGAAATATGTGTTGTGCTCTATTTTCTTGATATTCATATATTCATTTCTAGTTTTCATATATTTACTTAATGAATTGCTACTCAATAAAGTCAAGCAATATATTTGAATAAGTAGGCTTTTTTTTGAAAGTGTTTTCAAGCTGAAAGACCAAGAGAAGTGATTTTCTTAATGGATGATTCCTATGTACCTAGGATAGCTATTGTGCACACATAGATTTTTAGCTTCGGTGCGATCTTAGCATTAGAATTTAGCAATATCATTTCGACGTATCTAAAAATAGTTGGTGACTAAAAGAGGTCAAAATTCTGCTTGAGAGGAGGGTTGAGCCTCTCCAGGCTTAAATTTCTGGTGACGCCGTCACAAAATACATTGATCTCTTGTTTTTATCCACTCTAGTTGAACACGAGAAAAACACCAGTCATTGACAGGACTGGGAAAATGTTTGAATTGGCGTAACAATATCGCTTATCGCTTCTTGATCAAGGAGTTGTTGGCGCGTTCGAAATTTGGTTCAACCGTACTAGTCATTTAGTATTACTGCTGTTTTTTTCTGAAGGTTTGGCACAACACTTAGTGTCAGATCCGAATGAATGAATCATCAACATCGGATGATAAACGACAAAAAAAACGAGCGATAGAACAGAGAAGAAGAAGCAGAATTGGAGAAGAAAGCACGCCATGCACAACGAACAGAATGAGTAAAAGAAGATTCGTTTTCTGCGCTGATGTATGTTTTCCTTCTGTCGCACGTCTCTCTTCTTCTCCCTTGAGTTATTTTCCTCCTCTTGTAGCTTCTACTATATGTCGCTTTTTTTTCTTTCATCCTTTTTTCTCTATCTCTATCTTTCATTTTCTTGATCTTATGCGTGTAGGGCTGTTTCAGTGTGTCTTCTCTTCACTTCTACGCAGAGGTGCAGAATCTTCCAAAAATCCAAAAATTTCCCCCACGCAAAAAAGTTTTTTGAAAAATTTCCCCACTGTTTTTTTTTTTGGCCAGCGGGTTTTTCCAAAATTTCCCTATTATTTGAGTTTTTCAAAAAATTTCCCTCCCCGCGCGGGGGCGCATGAGGAAGATTCTGCACCTCTGCTTCTACGTTAGTATTTTTTTTTCTGATGATGGTAAAACTAATTTATTGTGTATGAACTTGTTTTTATGGGACGACAGGCATGGATTCAGTTTTTTGCATTTCTGCATATAGCATTCTATTAACATCGTCATGAGATCGCATTTTTTTTTGCTGTTCTATATATTTTGTAACCATCGAGAAGAAACAAAAATATCTTTTTTCATATTTCTTTCCCTTATTTTTCTCTCTCGCTACTGCTCTATTTGTCTCTACGTTCTCGTTCATTTATTCAGAAGACTAAACAACTGCACATCATTCAAATGCAATACGCACTAGGAACCGAAAAAGTAGTTATGTTAGATACTCCTTATGCTCCTACTGTCAGACCATTAACACTTGCTGAAGATCCTCAAGTACAACGACCTCGCAAGATTCTTCTGACTATGCTCGGCATTTGTCTTGTAAGTTTATATTACTTTTTTTTCATTAATAATCAAAAATATACTTTTCTATGATAACACAGGGATGAAATAATCAAATACATTTATAATTGTATAATATTTCGAGGTTGTTTTCGAGTAAATATTAATAATAATTTTTTCAAATGAAATATTTTTATTCGCATGTTTGAAAAAGTGTGTAGAATAATCATTGATAGGGTAACACTAACCATCTTATTAACACTGCACAAGGCTAATGTCGGCGACAGATGTAAAGATAGGCTGGTGTAAGACGAATAACTCGACAATGGAAACAGTTAGCGACCTACGATTTTCGCCATTCGAAAGAGGAGTTCCTGAAACGTCTTCTTGTAGGAATTCATCAAATGCCATTGAATAGACAGAGTTTCAGTAACGTTAGTCTTTCAAAAAATAGCTCAGAATGGTGTGACACCCAAGTCAGTTTTTGAATTGAATATTCTATAAGGATCATTAATAACTAACCCTATAGTATTACTTAAGCCTCATGTCGATACTGTTTGTGTTCATGCGGTGAAAAAGTTATACCAAGTCTATGTCCAGCTAATCGATGAATAATTGTTTCAAGTCAAAAAATTCATGCTGATCATTTACATCTTTATGAGGCTGTACAGAAAACCGACACTCTGTCTGGTCAACGACATTGGGTCAATTCCTATAAGAAGACGTCCTCTGAACTTCTTTTGCGAATGGTAAAAATCACAGGTCGATAGCTGTTTCCATTCTCATGTTATCCGTCTTACACTAATCCATCTTTACATCTAACGCCGACATTAGATTATAAGAAAATATTAATAGTACAGTTCTCTAGTAACAGAGGCCTTCGTGTGTGACTTTTTCGTCACTTGAAATGAACCATTCCTTTGATGAGTATCATGGGATGAACTCTTAAAGTAGCGTGAGCCAATAGAAGATATATGTTTGATTTAATCTAGTCTAATCTATATTGGCCAAAGTTAGAATGAAAACCAACTCATTCTACATGAAATCTAAGACCAGAATGGATTTGACTTGCTCTACCCAAGCAGACAAGAATTTGGAAAAACGCGTTTAAACCCTACAATCGGGAACCACGAGTGTGATCCACTCACGCTCAAAAAAAATAACGCCGTTTTTTGCGTGTTTCGCGTTTTTTTGCGCTTAATTTTCACTTTTTGGCCGTGAAACCGGCGGAAACCCTACTTTTTGAGCGCTAAAACGCTTGATTTTTAAGTTCCAGAAAACTTCAGAAGTAAAAGCACATTTTAACGCTCAAAAAGTGGGGTTTTCGCTGGTTTCACGGCCAGAAAGTGAAAATTAAGCGCAAAAAAACGCGAAACACGCAAAAAACGGCGTTATTTTTTTGGGCGTGAGTGGATCACAATCACGGTTCCAGATTGTAGGGTTTAAACGCGTTTTTCCAAATTCTTGTCTGCTTGGGTAGTAATGATTATACGAACTATGTGCAAAATGTGTTAGTCGTCAACTATAAATGACTGAAAAAAATATTTGTGTTCTCGAGGTTAAGTTCCAATTCAGGTAAGAAAATGTTATTAAGGGTTTTGAGAGACCAGCTTGAGATGCAAAAATTGAGCTCAACTAGGTTTAACCTATGGCTGTGTATATTCTTCTTCTTATAGAACTCTTTAGCATTAATAATATATTTAAAGTATTGGTTTTTTATTGATATTAAAATAAATTTTGTAGGTTCTTTGTTTGGGCAATACAATTGTTGGAATCGTGAATCGTATAGCAAATCCTCAAGGAAGTGCAGAGCTTGGTCTACCTCTTTTGTCAATTCTTTTCTACGGCTTTGGACTATTCGTCACTTCTAAATATTCTGAAACAGGCTTGCGCGTGGTATGTAATGTCTTTTGAGTTTTTTCCAATACACGATCTGTCATATCTACTGGTCGAACAGACATGTACGACTGGAAATACCCGATGTATCCACAAGCGATAAGAGAAGAGGAAAAGGGAACGATAAGAAGGAAGACAAAGATGAAGCAGTCTCTTCTCACATTGAACAATCTTTATATATATATATATATATATATATATATATGTTGTGGTCAAAATTAAAATTTTGATTTTGTCCAACATAATGTCAGTCAGAATTAAAATTTTAATTTTAACTGGACAAAATTAAAATTCTTTTTTTCCATGAAAAGAAATAAGTAAATATTTTGATAATAAAGCGTATGGATGTGGGTGAGGATGCTTGGTTTTGAAGAGTGTGGGTATGGGCGTAGATGAATGTGAAAGCAGCAAGGTCTTAGGGTTGTCATTGTCATATTAACTTAAATAAATTTAAATCATCGATAATCAAGTTTAATATAAATTAAATTTTTTTCATAGTTTAAATTTAAAAATAAATTTAAAGTATCAGTATTTATATGTAAAATAAATTTAGCATAAGACAATTTTAGCTTAAGACAATTTAAATTTATTTTTAAATGGAAATTATGAAACAAAATATAGTTTTATTTTAAATATATATTATGATAATTTAAACTTATGTTTAAATTTAAATTATATAAAAAGATAGTTTAAATTTATTGTAAATTTAAATTACTGATAATTTAATTTACGCATTAATTAAATTGAGAGTAAATATAAATTGACATTATTACAAGGTCTCTATTGCACCCACACTTATAATATTTGTTGATAATTTTTTTGAAATATATAAGCTGTCGCTGCTAAAACTATTTGTTTTTCTTTACCTTTTTCTTTGCATTAAACAAAGAATTTTAATTTTATCCAGTCAAAATTAAAATTTTAATTCTGACTGGGCAAATTTGAAATTTAACTGAATTTTAATTTTGACCACAACACATACAATGTAAAGAAAGTTTAACAAAATCAAGAAACTTTTAATCAATATCGAATTGAGAGAAGTGACAGCATGATCGTGCCCACTGTTGAGCATTTTTTCTGAAAACAACAAACGAAAAACGACTTTATGTTACCTCAGCTGAACCTTGAATAGCGTTTTCTGTCCAACATCGACTATATCCTCCAAAAAAAGTGTTTGTCTCTCTTATTAACATTCTAGATCAACCACAGATGAGCATCTATGAAATGCTGTTTAAAAGTGTACTATCAAGCATTTGTATTATTTTATTTAATCTTTTCATTGTTAGTAAAACTATTTTACGTTGTATGATTGACATGAAGTATTTGTGAATTATAAAAACAGGTTTACATTGAAAACATTCAAACTGTTATCACTGCTTGATATGTCTGAAAAAACGAATTTGAACGGTAAAGACATGTTAAACAACTAAATGTTTTTAAAGTATGATTAACGAAGTTTTGCGAACATACCGCACTGTTTTAATAGTTTAGATTCACTGTATTTGAACACCATTTTTACATGAACAAAACTATTGAGTTTTAATGTCATAGGATTATGCAAAAAAAAAATCTGGAAAAGTGACTTTTGATAGTTTTGTCGATTGTCAAGGTCTTTGATACATTCATTGATGTTCGGTATTTTCAAAAATCTGTTTAGAAAAGTTGTTCGATTAATATTATCTCAATGAAATGTTCGAATTAAAACTAATTTTTTTAATTTTCGACTTCTAGTTCGCTTGGCTGGGTGTGATCATGCTTATTGGCATGAGTATTGTACTTGTATTTGTCTTCATGGGTGTTCTCGCAGGTTTAGCTCTTACAAGTGTTGCTTTTGTTGCTATAAATTCAATTGATTTAAACTCATTTACAAACTCAACTGTTGTCACCTCATTTTCAAACTCAACTGTTGTTACCTCAACTGCTCTAAATTCTGTCGATAAAGCCGTCATCAAGGGTGTCATGGTTGGTGTCTCACACTTTCTTTTCGTTTTTCTTCTTATATGTATTAGTGTTTTCATTTTTACAGTAAGTATTCTATCTCATTTATTTTTTCTTAATAATATACTTCAATATCTTTGCAGATAATTATGATTAGCTTTGCTTTCAAATTGGCTAGACTTGTTGAAGCCAAGAAAAATGTAATCATTCAACAAATCTAAATTTTTCTTTACACAATATTTAATTCTGAATATTGAATCTTGCATTTATTTTCATGTACTTGTTCAAGTATAATCTCTTTGCCTCTCAAAGCTTATAAAAAAAAACATATTAATTAAAGTTTTCAGTCATCGAGAATAGTTTTCAATTGAATAAATGCTTGTACTCTCAAATAGTTTCACATCATAGTGATGAAACACAGATGCAAGTCTCTTAATACTTACTGATCACAAGCAGTATAGTTGAAAGTGAAATGGTATTTTATTGGTAAAACTTATCCATACTCATACCCTTATTGCAAAATTTTGGTCAATCAATTTATTCTACTAAATCTATCAGAGATATTACAGAAAAACTCAACACTGGACAAAAATTGAATGAACTTGGATTATTCATTGAACAGACTTCAAATGATTGAATAACTAAAAATCGTCATTTACATAAATTACTTTCGAGTTAAAAAAAGTTTTGGCCTCTATATATAATTCTGATTTGATCTATCAATCGTATCGAAATATTAGTAGCAGTCTTTCTTTGTAAAAAGATGCAAAATATATTATGATTTGAGTTTTTTTTTTTCTTTGATATTTTTTTTCACGGATCAAAATGAATTTGTTCATGGTATCGTAGAATTCACTTATTAAAACGAAAATTGATTATTTCATACTGTGATTCAACTAAAGGAGCTGAATTTTTCTTTGTTGTTAGAGAATAGATTCAAATCTTTATTTTTTATGAAAAAAATTGACAGATATATTATCAAGCCTATGAACTTTGATTGATTTACAAAAAGATCTTTTTTTTTCTATTTTCAAAGAGATTCTTATGTGGAAATGAATCTTAGAAGATTGAACGTTCTTTATTCTATGTTTTCTTCAACAATAGCGAATCATTAGAATAAAGTCAATATTTAGAGAATTCTTGATGATGTTGTATTGTGACTGAGTTATTGAGTTTTTCACGAATTCTTCTTTCTTAGACTCTCTAGGGATGTTACTTTGTAATTAAGTTGTATTTTCAAATTATGCTACGAAATTTGTCGTATTAGAACGTCATTCACACGTTGGTGGTACATGGTATGCAAATCGATATCCAGATTGTCAAGTCGATATTCCATCGAATCTGTATTCATATTCATTTGAAATTAATCCACAATGCAGTCATTATTATAGTCGTCAATCTGAGATTGCTGACTATTTAGAAAAATGTACAGACAACTATGGTATCCGTTCATATATTCATTTTGATACGACAGTTACTCGATGTGATTGGCTTGATGAACGGCAACTATAGCGAGTGACTACAGTACACAAAAATAGTGGCGATGAGAAATATTATTATGGCCGTCATCTTATTGGAGCCTATGGTCTATTATCGAATGCATCATATCCAACAGATATTGAAGGATTTGAAACATTTGAAGGAGAAATGTGTCATACAACTGAATGAAATGATAAAATTAATTTTAAAGAAAAACGAGTTGTAGTTGTCGATACTGGTTCAAGTGCTATACAATGCATACCTCAGTTACATGAAAATTTTGGTATTTCACATATATACGTCTTTCAAAGAACAGCAGCTTGGATTACTAATTTAAAGAATCGAACAGTGACTCCATTCCAAAAGTATATTATCACCACTGTTCCACTAATTCAAAAATTCTTTCAGGCTTGCAGCTATTGGAGACGTGAGTTTACTGTTTTCTCATTCGTTTATCGATGGTCTAATCGCGTCGTTGCTCAAAAACTCGTCAGAAACATGCTTTCTTCGTCAAGTCAAAAGTCCAGAATTGCGCCAGAAATTGATTCCAACATCGGATTTCGGCTGTAAACGAATATTATTCAGTAATGATTGGTATTCGACGTTACAACAACCTGATGTTACGCTTGTTACAAATTGTATACGTCAATTAAAAGCATTTTCGATTGTCACTTATGATGGAAATGAGTATCCGGTTGATATTATCGTTTGGGCTACAGGTTTCAAAGTTCATTCACTTCATATTCCTATGTTCGGTATTCAAGGCCAATCGCTTGAGAAACCATGGTCACAAACCGTGCAGGTATATTACTCTTTGGAGATGATTAATAGAAATATGTAGAATACAGGTTTTTTTATGTATATAAACGAAAGTGAAGGAGAGATGGAACCGGTCTGGTTTTTGGACGACCGCATCGTTTGATCATCGGTGCCTGTTTCATCTATGATATGCTGATAATCGACATTTTTTCCTTCTAAAACCGTTCATTTGTCTCCTTGTTGTGATTGTTGAAGTGCGTTCAAACTTGTTCAATGAAATAGTAAAATAAATAAGCTAGTATAGTTGCTTTGTTTCAAGGCATATCGTGGCGTTACCGTACCTAACTTTCCCAATCTGCTTCCTCTTCTTGGCCCCAATACAGAACTTGGACACAATTCTGTACTAGTCATGATCGAACCACAACTGAAGTATATTATGGAAGCATTGGTCTATATGCAAGAGAATGGCATTCGAGCGTTGGCAGTGAAACAAAACGTTAGCGACAAATTCAATGAAGAAATACAATCGAAACTAAAGAGCACTGTCTGGCAATTGGATGGTTGTCATTCATGGTATCAAGATTCGAAAGGACATAATAACACAATATGGCCTGGGTTTTCGTGGACCTATGATCTTTGACTGAGAAAGTTCGACTACCAAAATTACTGTGTCGTTTCCGCAACGTGAAACCTTCTTTTATATCTAGTAGTGTAACATTTTAATAAATTCGTTAGATTGCAAAGATATTCTATAGAGATTCATACCGATTTTATGCTATGCTATGTAACATTATATTAAAAGCTTTTCATTGTATTTCTATTGTTTCGATTGAATGACACCAAATCATGATCCATTATATAGGCAACTCGTGTCTGAACACGAAAGGCTTGATTCATTACAATCTTTGTACTTCTTGCTCCATAAACATTATTCAATTAACTTAAAAGATTATACGTATACTTGATGATTCCATTTTAGCTATTATTGCGAAGAAATTTTTTGAAATAGCCATGCGGAAATATGTTGGAACTTTGGAGGAGAATCTCATAGAGAAAAATTATATATGCATATGTATTGAAACATGAGACAGTCTAGATGATACTTCGATGCGTTACAGCATATAGACAACAAAAAGTTTCTTCTGCCAAGAGCGTGCCATATATATCTACGACCAGAATATTGGTGTAGGTGTGGAAATTCTCTTCAATCATACCAACATCCAAAAGAAGCCAGGCAGTTTTTCACTGTTTATCTTTAATCCTTGATGAAATCTTTTAACATTATGTTTAACTTCTTCATATTGAATAATAATAATACAAAATAAAGGTGGTAGATTGAATAACTGGTTACTATTTGATAGTAAGCACTTACGACGATAGCTTTGCTAATTTGTTTAGATGTTTCATGGCTATTTAGTATTTTACTTTCAACATCTTTTCTTGATATTGCTCATGAGTATAATTACCGGGTACTCTTAAAAGTAACTATTATTATTGTGTTTATCAACATTATCAAGAAACTATTCTGAAAGCAACATCATAAGCCAAGATCAAATAACAATAAAACATCTAATTGAATTTGCAAAACTTTCGACGAAATCAATTAACTTTGAAAAGCAGCTAGTTATTCTATATGCTATATCTAATACAAAATACTGTTTGTGAAGCTGTGTCTGCCATGTCATATATGAAGGATGAAATCGAACTTCTTTAGGTTTACATAGCATACTTTTGTACCCAATATCTTCTTTTCTGTCATTAGCATAATCTCCGCTCTCTCACATTTCTATCTACTTCCACTTTTCTTTGTTGCATCTATTCTGTTGTTCAACTATTTTTATCGA